GCAGCCCCAAAGCCACTACAGCAATCGCAGTCCCAAGCCATTACAGTACAGCTCCCCATATGTGATCCCCAAGCCATCTCCACAGCCCCCAGGTGGCACCATCCCCAGCAATCCAAACGGTTCTTCAGGCCGTCCATATGGGGCCCCAGCAGCAGCGAGCGAACTCAACCGATGAGAACTCCAACCAGAAGTAGGGCATCAGGATGGGTCAAGCAGCGTAGCAATGCTAGTTCCAGCATATCCATGACACATATCATCACCACCATGTCCTTGCCTTTGTGAATAGACCTGGAAGCTTTGTACTTGAAAAAGGTGACCTGACATGTGAACATTTGAGAAACTGATGTTTAAACTCTGGATGAGCATTCATTTAATATCCCATTTGAAAGTACTGTTTTCTACTTGCACCAATTTAACATCATCTTTCACATTTAATATGATTTATCTGAACATACTCAAGAAAAAAAAAGTAAAAAAAAATATTAGGCCAGCAAAATCAGCATCATATCAATATGTCATATCAGTTAAATGCAAGATAATTGGACAGGAAATCTGGCTCAATTTTTTTTTACAGCTGTTTTCAGCTGTTTTTAAACTGCAGTCCTGATTGGTTCCATGAAACATGATTGTTGTTGTTGATATTGATTTCCTTATTGTGATGAATTTTTTTAATTTGAATAAAATTAAATTCTATAGCCTGAAATAACTCACCACGGTCCAGCCAATAACACATGATTAACTGACAAGAGTCTCAAATTCCTTTTATTTAATTTGAAAAAGGTCATTGTCGTCCATTGTATTAAGGTTCATTGACATCATTTTGTATCATGGGACCAGGGTGGAAATTAATTACTCATACAAATTGAAGTCTTCTGTAGGGACATGTCAACATTATTACAACACGAATTAGCGAGCAGTTCTAGTTTCAGGAGGGGATCGATATTAAACAAAGGCATTAGATCTCATATAGCATTTGAGATGTCATTCACTTACGCTGTGTTTTGCTTTTTCAATTTCCTCTATTTGACAGGTCATTTTTATGTTCACTTTCCTCTTTTCTCTCCTTCTTGTTTTAACCTGATAATGTCACAGGAGAGTAGATGAAAAGATTCAGTGGCTCTGATTGTTCTTTTGTTTGTGAGTTAAATTGCAAACACACAATCCAAGCTATACAAACATCCTGCAAAGGAAATTAATTTAGATTGTTATCTGAAGGTATCCGTAACTTGATTAATATCTGCAGATTAGTATGAATTCAAAACAAACCCACTAAACTCCGACTCAGGCTGAATTATTTATTCATATTAATGTGCTGATTGGCTCATATTGTTCCAGGATAGTCATATACATTGGCAGCAATTGTACAGATTCATTGCATTGATGATTCTTGACACCATTCGTGATTCAAGAAACAGTGTGGTGTTGACAAAAGTAGTTTGTAAGGCATTAAAGCTCAAAATAAAAAGAAAACAGATATTACTGAGGCACTCACGAGACTCATTCACACGCTAATTACTGTTTACCTGTTTTCTTCCCAGCGCTGAAAAAGGGTCGCTTTTGGATCACGCCTGACCCGTACCACAATGACGACAACATTCAGATTGGCCGGGAAGTGAAGATATCGTGCCAGGTGGAGGCGACACCCCCTGAGGAGCTTCAGTTCAGCTGGCTGAAGAATGGCCGAGCTCTGCGCAGCTCTGAACGCATGGTCATTACCCAGACTGACCCTGACATCTCCCCAGGAACCACCAACCTGGACATCATTGATCTGAAGTTCACCGACTTTGGCACCTACACCTGCGTGGCGTCGCTCAGAGGCGGGGGCATCCCAGAGATCAGCATCGACGTTAACATCTCTTCCACCACTGGTGAGCCTCACACACACTTGCTGGCCTGAGCTGCTGGATCACCACCCACACGTTTAGTATTGCACTTCACATGTCAGAGTAATTAAAGTCTACATGCTGTAAGGGATAACTGCTGTGCCAATATGTGCAAGTTTTATGAGAGCACTTCAGTTAGTCGTTTGCTGTACCGTTTCCTGTACTCCGCTATGACACTGATTTTTTTCCTTAATAATGAGACCTTTTTTCTTCTGAATGTGCAATCAGACCTGTGTTTCTATATATGCAGTGAAATGTGTTTGTATTTTAAAGAAGCTGATATTTAAAGCTTCATTATACGTGTAGGATTTTGTAAGATTTATGCATTCATGCAGTATGCCATTAAGGAAGTGTATGGAGATGGAGGAAGTCGAAGGTAGGAAGGCAGAAAAAATAAGCATACCCCTCTAATTAGCACTCATTGAGTTAATCAATAAGCTTCTATCTATCAGTACCGTATCACCATTCATTATCATCATGCTTATCTTGGACTAGAGGGAGGTGAACCAGATCAATATCCAGGCTAAAGAAGCATCGCCTGACCTATAGGAATCGCACCGGAATGCCAGGCTTTCATCTCCCATCTGGTTGTCCGTCTGCTGCTTTTCAGCGATTTGTTACAGTCGGTTTGCAGAGAACTCACTTTCTTTTAATATTTTTCAAGCAAGAAGTAGTGAATGAATATCCAGACTCTTTGGATGGTTCATAGCTATCTAAATGACTTTAACGCAAAACCCTTTCTAAAAGAGAAACCCTCTATTGTAGGATTCTACAACGAAACAAACTGAAGAACCTTTAGTGTGCAAGATTTATGATTTTCTAATGCGATATGTGGTCTGATCAAAGCTTAGCGACCTAAATAGCTAACAGAGACTTAAAATAATTTTTATTGATTTTAAAAGGTATTCTTTGTTTTCTGCAGAGAAGAACATCTGATCTTTTAAAAATATAATGCATATTTTGTTTGAAGTATTTATTTTTTTGTCTAAATAAGTAGGTTGTCAAGACAGCATAGCACTTAACATTTGCAGAGGAAAGTACCTAGCTGCTGTAGACAATACAGGCACAAGTCAACATCAGTGCTCTTGTAACATTTTAAAGAGATAAGATAAAACTTGTTTACATATGACATATTAAATAATATGAATTGCATGCTCAGCCAATCACATGGAAATAGCGCAGTGAACAGAACAATGCAGACACAGCTCAAGAGCTTCAGTTACTGCTCTCTTCAGACATCACAACACATCAAACCTTGAGGCAGACAAGCTACTACAGCTGGAGACCACATCATGTTAAACTCCTGTCAGCTAACAAAAGCAATCCGAGGCTACAGTGGGTACATACTCACCGAAATGGGACTGTTACAGATTGGAAAAAACATCACCTGGTCTTTTTCAAGTCTTCCTTAAAGTTTGACATGCTGTGCATACTGTGATGCTTTTCAGCTCACCACAGTTGTAAAGAGTGGTAATTTGAGTTGCTGTAGCCTTCCTGTCAGCTCAACCCCAACACCCCCCCCCCCCCTTCTGGACAATCTCTATAGACTGTTGTGCACGAAAATACCAGTAGATCAGCAGTTTATGAAATACTCAAACCAGCTTGTTTGGCACCAGCAATCTGATGTTTACTGTAAGCATTAACTGAAGCTCTTGATCTGTATCTGCATTTTATCCACTGTGTTGCTGACACAAGATTGGCTGATTGAATAAGTGGAAGAATGAGCAGCTGTAATAAAGTGGTCAGTGGGTGTATATATTAGAAACATCATGACATAATTCCTTACATGAAGACACTTAATCAGATATTATTAACTTTTAGGCAAGACATTCAGCCATGTCATATGAGGTATTAATAAACATCTGTTCTTGAGCCTAGAGAGATATATTCTCTCAAAAATGTATGCTGATGGTTCAAACATGTTCACAAATGCACTAGGATGCCTTGGTTTCCTGTTTATTACCAGCTGTCTGCTTGCTGAAGCAAATCCACATTACCAGCTCTCTGCCATATTTGCACCAACACTGTCTTGACCTTCCAGTATAATTGCATAACAGGGAGAATGTAATCCTTTCATAATCCCCCATTCACGAAAACTGTGGAATTAAGCGTGCCTGCCATGTTTGTTTTCTTGTTATCTTATAAATAGTTACAACCTGTGTTTTTGGATGTGTCAGTGGAATTTAAAAAACCTTCCTAAGCACACTTATACACATAATATTCTGTCAACTTTAAAAAAAAATAAATAAAATGACTGATTTTTTTTCATTACCATATATTTGTGATGTTAGGTCCCTGGAGGACTAGTGTTTAGGCCACAGAGCTCTCACTGCTGCGGCCGGGTTCGATTCCCGACCAAGGGGCTGCAACCCCAGCCACTGGGGTTGCGTGCAACAGTGCGCTCTCAGTACCAGTCCCAAGCTTGGATAAAATTGGGGCGGGTTGCGTCAGGAAGGGCATCTGGCATAAAAACTGTGCCAAATCAAATACGCGGACCAATGATCCACCGTGGCGACCCCTAACAGGAGCAGCCGAAAGAGGAACAAGAACATATTTGTGAAGATGAACGGGTGCCTGAAAGGAGCCGTTGAAAGAGTATTTCAAGGAGTAAAACACGATGGGGCATGTTGTTATAGGACAGTATTCAACAACTGGGTGGTGTGATGCAGCCCGACATGAACCAGAGACATTTTTATTAATTAACGTATGACGTCATACTTTCTATTCATTTATAGTTATGTTCAACATTGTGGCACTTTCACATAACAGGTTACTGTTATCACTTATGTTAAAGCAACTATAAACAATTTTTCCCTCAGTAGCCTCTTCTATTTTCTCTTTCTTGTGTTTAACAAAACAAAAAACACACAACTTTACATGTTATCAAAAACTGTAAAATCCTCTGTCCTGAAGACTTCCCAGCGTTGGAAAACTTACCGCTGACTGTTACAAAGTGCTGACACTGTAGACTCCTTCCAAAAATGCTAAATAAAGGTCTCTTCACCATATCGACTTCACCATACCTACAATTACATGCATTTTAAAATATGTTTATGTGGACCATCCACCATACAAGTCCCTGTAAGTTGTTACTATAAAATTGATTATCATAATACAGCGAGCGTATTCATATAAATATTGTAGCCGGAACTACAGCAAGAAACATGCCGATATAGAAAATTAGTCAACACCTTTGTTACTTCAAGACAAATGAAGCAGATAAAAGGTCTGGAGTTGATATCAGGTACTGAGTTGGCATTTGGCAGCTGTTCGACTGGAGCTACCAATATGAAGTCCAAGGAGATCTCAGTGCAAGTGAAGGAGGCCATTATTAGGATGAAAAAACAAAAGAGACCTATCAGAGAGGTAGAAAAAACTTTAAGAGTGGCCAAATCAACATTCTTAAAAAGAAGGAAAGCACTGGCGAGCTCAGCAACACCAAAAGACCTGGAAGACCAGGGAAGACAACTAATGTGGATGTTCGCAGAATCCTTTCCTTGGTGAAGAAAAACTCCTTCACAACATCAACAGAAGTCAAGAATACTCTGGAGAAGGTAGGCATATCATTGTCAAAATCTACAATCAGGAGACTCCTTCATGAATGTAAATACAGAGGGTTTACAACAAGGTGCAAACCACTGGTAATGTTCAAGAACAGGAAAGCCAGATTAGACTTTGCCAGAAAACATCTAAAAAAGCCTCCCATGTTCTGGAATAAGATTCTTTGGACTGATGAATGGCTGCAATGAAGCCTGGCAAAGCATCTCCAGGGAGGAAACTCAGAATTTGAGTTTTGAGAACATGGGCCCCAGACTTCAGGCAGTCATTGACTGCAAAGGACTTTCATCCAAGTATTAAAATTGTGTGTATGTATATGTGTATATATATATATATATATATATATATATATATATATATATATATATATATATATATATATATATATATATATATATATATATAT